ATCTAATCAGACTAAATGACTCATGTTCATAATGATGGTAGGTAATAGGTTAAATTCAGTGACGCCTGTACGGCAAGGAATGAATTCTATGTTTTCCTTGTGGTCTCCCTTTTGACACATCATCCAAAATCCCTTCGAGAAGGTGGGAAGGGTCTCTCCTGACCTGAACTTTGGAGCAGAGGTGGGGAGAGGAAGGGGAAGTCACTTCTCGCACAGTGTTAAATGGAATTCAACTATCATAGTTTGCTACACAAATCTTGCTTCCACCTACCATATTGCTATAATCAGAATTCCCTAAGGTGGTAAAAGTCAGTAAAATCCATAAATAAAATGAATTCCAAGTAACAAGAGTGGAAATCTAACTACATATTTAGTCCCTCCCCACCTCCTAATGGTTTATTTCATTTCCAGATGGTGCTTTATTGCCGAATAAGAGTGGACAGGGGCAGATGACAGCTCATTATCACTCTGGGGTTGCCTCTGAGATTGCTAGCGCTTCTTAGGTAGTGGCACAATCTAGCCATCTCAGTTATCTACAGTACTATTTCTAATGCGATACAGCTGGAACAGAATTATTAATTAGCACTTGTGCTATGTGGGTTTATATATAGCTTTTCTATCAGCAGATTATGGAATTCTGCAAACAGCAGCTCTAGATGCACATAAATGTTTCCCCCGGGATATTGAAGATTTTAAAATAGCAAAGAATTTGAAGCTGCTTTTATAGAGCACCAGTGAAGGAGCTCAGATTCCAAGAAGGATCTTCCTTTACAGGGCAAAAATTAGCTTGGGTTTCCAGGTGGCTGAAATGTGGCAGGCGAAGAACTTTTCGAGTTCTTTAAAAGACAAGAAATAAACACTGAGAACCCCAACCATCTCTGCTTCACAGATCATCAACTTGAAATAAACTTAAACAAATACTGCCGTAAATTATTTCCATGCAATCGACTCATTATTCAATCTGCTTTCAAGGAACATGGTGACGAAAGAGGGAAAATACCTCTTTCTAACATAACCATACTGGCAGGAGGATCAACATTATCAGTATTCAAAGAACGTCTTGGCAGGATAAACCTTCATAAAAAGATGACACACAAGCTAATCCAGGTTGTCAAAAGAGTAATAGTCTATCAGGAGTGATCTGGTAACCAAGTCATTATTTATTGCTAATGCAAATCAAAACATAACAAGTACGGCAATACAAAAACGTCAAACGCATGGCTAAGCCTATGTTAACTGCTGACTGAGAAAACAAACTTGGAGCAGAATGCAGTAATAATAGTTAGGGGAAAGCCATAGTAAAAAGGCAACTTTCACTCAGTGTCAAGAAATATTTTCCTCCTAATATGAGACTATAAAGGGGAACTTGGGTTTCCCCTTCCCAGGGTGTTTGTGCCCCACTTTGTGCTGGTCATGGACCGTAATAAGGTTTTGTTGTTGTTGTTGAGACTAGAAAGTGTTATGTGAATTTCCAAAGAGAGAATCAGCATGATGTAGTGGTGTGAGCACTGGGCTACAGCTATGGAAACCAGCTTTCAAATCCCAGCTCGGCCATGAAAACCCACTGGGTGACCTTGAGAAAGCCATATTCTCTCAGCCTCAGAGAAAAGCAATGACAAACCATGCCAAGGAAATTCCATGATAGACTGGCTTAGTGGAAAATGATTTGAAGGCACACACAAACAAGAACAAAAGGCACTCAAGTTGTCATTACAAACTGACTCAATCTTCCAACAGGTAATAACAATATCATTATAACCTCTTTCTTTCATATGCCACCATAATATTAGGTCTCCTAAATGCCATTTAAGTGGAGATACATACTGTATACCAACTGAAGGGATCAGTACTATGGCAAACTGGAGCCTAAAGACCTTGCCCCCTTCCCTGCATGATTCTAGATTAGGTCAACAGTTTTTTTCTCTGTGGCCCGAGCACCATAATAATAAGCTTTCTCTGGCACAATATACTCCAATTTTCTCCCCCCACCCCAAGAAATCAGTGGGAAATAGTTTACCTAAAATTAATTAAAACCTTTTTTGTTATTCCATCATTTTTCTTACTTTTCTCAGGCTACAGGTTGAGGGTAATGGTAAGAAGAAAGTAAACAAAGAAAGATACCTCATGTCAATTCCTTCTCTACCTTTCTTTAATGACACTTTGCCAACACTGCTAGAAACATCTCAGATGAATATGCCAAAAATTGAATTTTGGATGCTGTATGTTTCTGGATAGGACCATTAAAAAGCTTGAAACTATATTGCCAATCTGCCATGTCTGCACATTCTGACTCTAGTTTTACTACATTAACATTCAAAGGCATGGCCCCAAAGTATGTGATGCCTTAAGGTGCATCCTCAGAATCAATCACAATTATGTGCTATTACATTATACCAATGTATCTGTTCATTTTGACATCTTAATTTCATCTGCTATAATACAATCATTTCTCAAAACTTTTATCCTCCCTTCTCCCACTCCTCCCAAATAAGAAAACTGCTCAGGTTTATCAATGTTTTCGAATCAATTAATTTGGCATTTATCAGCAGTGACATTTAAAAGTCTGTGCCTCTTGATTTGGGGGAGGATTTTTTAAAATATAAATAGTATTATTAAGACAATGAAAGATAGCAAAAAGAAATGTAATGTGAGAAGAGCACTGCCCGTGATAGATCAAAAACAGTCCCATTTTGTCTCTAAATCTCTTTCTCATACTTGTTCATAAGAAGGCACAATATAAAATAGAAGTGACTAAAAAGGCATATAGAGGCTGATCCCCTTTTGTTATGCTGTGGCTAATGAGCGACCTCTTGTGTTGAGAAATCTCAAAAACGACGCTGTCAGGAAAAAAAGTTTGAGATCAACAGGTTTTGCGCAGTGACTCTTGAGCCTTTCTATCTGTACATATTAATATAAACAGTTTGTCTTTTGCTCAGACCTAGTGACCTTTTCCTGTAACCTGCCAGGATATTTGAGTCCACCTCACTTTACTAGTTCACTTCAAATTATGGCTTGCAACTTTCGCTGAGTTCTCTTTTTACTATTCTTAATTTGTAGGCTTTATATGATTACAAACAACCTAAACTAATGAAGAGACAGTTTTTGCTACGTCTCTGATTTCTGAAGAATGCTCAGTTTAGGTGCAGAAATATGAAATCCTGTAGTACAACAATGTGGCCATTAGATGTCACTTTTATCTTGGAACTAATACAGGTATTTCTCCTCTTTCATTACACCAAAGGAAGGCTGCCAGTAACAAATTGTAGCTGTTCTGTGTGCCGCCTGTTGACTTATGGTGACCCCGTGAATTTCACAGGGTTTTCTTCGGTAAGAGATACTCAGAGATGGCTTGATCTGCTTCTTCCTCTGAAATATAGCCTGACAGTATCTGGAATACCCTGGCAATCGCCCATTTAAGGCCAGCATTGCTTAGCTTCCAAGATTTAACAGGATCTGGAGCTTTTGGGGTATTGAGGCCTTTGGAGCTGTTCTATAATCACATTATTTAAAGTGGAAAGTGGTGGTGACGGCACCCTGCTGAATCCCTCTCTACTTTGCCTTTAGTCTTTCTCACTCGGGAGTAGTGGGCTCTTTTTAAATGACACACCATTTAAGAAATGGTTGGCACAGATGGTACAGATAATTATTATTTTGTTTCGGGGACCCGAAAATTGGACCATTATGGGGGGGGGGGGGGGGGCTTCAATAGGAACAACTATCTCAAATTCACAGAAGTCAGAGAAAATAACTGATGCTAAATTTCCATTGAAATCAATAGGAAAAATTTACTGCAACTAATTTATTTCCCATTAAACAGGTGTGTAGGCAATGAATGATGTAACACCACTTTTCTTTACAAAACATAATGGGAGCTTTGGTTAAATACTAGTCATGTGCATTCAGGGAAAACCTTTACCTGTTTCATGTCCTGGTTTTTGTTGGGGGCTTTGATCTATTTTTTGCAAGCCTCCCGAAAATGGGAGAGTTGTTTTCGGTTCTTTCATTTTGGGGCCCCAAAAACTGGACCATTATAAGGGGGCTTCCCACCCACTGCCTTCCCTTCCCGGCATACATTCTTCTTACCTGGCACCTACTGTTACTACTCTAAAGAGGTGCTCGGCTGTAGGCACTGGCAGACACGCACTTTCCAGGTCTGCCTGCATACCCTGCCACACATGCATTGTCCTTGGAAAGAGTGTGGCAAGGCATGCAGACAGTCATGAAAAGCGTGCGCGCCTGCCAGTGCCTGCAGCTGAGTGCCAGAGAAAGTTTATTATTATGGTGCTCAGGTCACAAAAAGGTTGACTTCATCCAGAATCATGCAGGGTCTTTCTGCTCCAGAGTAGTAACAGCAGGTGCCAGGTAAGAAGAGTGCAGGTATGGTGGGGCATACAAGTAGGCTCAGCACCTCTTACTCTAGTATCTGAGAACTCTTATTCTAGAGTAAGAGGCGCTCAGCTGCAGGCCCACTCCAGGCCTGCCTGCACACCCCACCACACACACCCTGCCACCACTCTCCTCGAGAGTGTGTGTGTGGTGGGATGTGCAGGCAGGCCCAGAGCATGCCTGGAGCTAAATGCCTCTTATTCTAGAATAAGAGGTGCTCAGATGCTAGAGTAAGAAGTGCTGAGCCTGCCAATACACTCCACCACACATGCCCCACTGCCACACTCTCCAAGAGTGTGTGTGTGGCGGGGCATGCAGGCAGGCCCGGAGAATGCCTGCAGCCAAGCCCCAGGCCTGTCTGCTTGAATGTCCCACCACAGAAACACTTTCTTTCCAAGACAAGGAGGCATGTTCGGACGCACACGAAAGCAGGCTGTAGTCAGGCTTTTGTGTCAATTTTCATGTGGGAAGGGGGTTTCCCATTTCATGCTTCTGAATAAATTGAAGACAAGAAAAGAAATGGTAGAAACTGTAAGAATAAATGTTGGCCACATGCCTATTAAATACTATTAATGTTACAGTTTCAGCAGTTCTGAAGGCAAAGCGTTCCTTACCTTGTTATGTGTAAACACAATCCTCAGTTCTGGTTTTATAATGCCATATGCCATCAGAAGTTTTTGAATTTTTTTTATTTCTTCCTTGCATTTTTTATCGGTTGAATAAAACTGCTTTCTTACAGGCAAATTCTTGAACAACTTCAGAACTGTGACAGTTGTACCTACCAGAAATGATGGGAGGAAAAATAGGGAGTAAGATAAACTTTGCATAAATCATTGAATGTTTTTACTAATATATGTTATTTTTCTGAACTGGTGCCTGTAATTATATCTGAGCCAAGCACAAACCTAAGATGAACATACACAATGTTAAAGTGAGCATTTCACTATCAAAATGTGGCTGTTAGACAACTGTCTGTACTACTCTTTGACTACAGCTATAAACAAAATTAAATTACTTGACACCATCAAGTTTTACAATACAATCCTAATTAGAAAGAAATCCCACTGTTTCAGAAGAACTTAGTTCCAGAGACATATATTGGATGGCTAACAAAACCGTTCCTGATATCAGCACAAGGAAAGTTTATTAATGAATGCAACATGAGAAAAAAACTATTTTCTTTTTAAAAATGATACTGACACTTTATTTTTATGCACATCTATTCAGAAATAAACATTACTCAGACCAATGAGATTTAGTCCTAGGAACCTGTATATAAGGATTGTAGCCTGATGTGGTATGATTTTATAATAAGGTACACTTTCTTATAACATTATGTAACACGATTTTTGTTCCTGGGTTATAAAAGTAATTTCCTAATTGATTCTATCATAAAAACATAGAAGAAGTTTATTAAACTGCTAATACTTAGTTTTTGTGGGCCACCCTGCAACACATTTTGCTAGTTTTTCAATGACTATTTCATTGAGTCTTTACCAATTTTACATCATTTGTGGCAGCCACAAAACCCAAGTTTCTGGAGTATAACAACTATTTTTGAAGTGAGTACTGCACAATTAAACAAGAAATAACACTCACAAACCAGGACCAGAATTTTTGTTTCAAATTTTGTTACATAGTGAAACCAAAGCATCAAAAGCCACTTAAATGAAGAGGGTCTGAAGTATACTTATTTTCAAAATCAGCAATCAATTAAAGCCTAATCCTTGGACTTGCTGTGTCAGACGACAAGTGTTAAGAGATGGGGCACAGCATTTGCGATGCTAGTATAGCCTCCTCCATTGAAGGATGTTATATAACTTGAGGTGCAAACAGATCTGACGGCACAAGTGGTTATGATCAGGGCAATCAAAGATTTACAAGCCAAACGAAAGAAGCACTATCATGTTTAACAAGAAAATACTTAAGATTTAAGTGCTCTGGTAAATATATTTTATGAAGTACATGCTGTACCATCTTAAGGACTCTACCATTTATAGCTGTGATATATAAAGTGACCGTTACACTTTTCACTGGGATCAAGTTTTCTTTTGTTAAAACATAAGAAGGTAACTACCATATATCAAAATGATTTCTATGTTAACAAGCAGTCATGAAATCCATATTCTTTGCCACTTAACTCACTTTTAGATATGGGCATGATCAGTCCAATGATTATTTGGAATTGTGATCATTACAAACATTGAGAAGAATATTTGTGTTTATTATTAAATTACTATTGTAGTGATCAGCAACATGCAGCCTGTGGACCACGTGTGGCCTGTAGAGGAGATACCACCTTTTGAGGGGGGGGGGTCTATTTTAAAAGGGAAAACTATGTTCTTCCCACATACACCTTGTTTCGCTCAAAAACAGCCCCTTAATTGAGAGATGTTTCCTTCAGAAGTGTCTACTATTTCAATGGGAGCCAGCATGGTGTCGTGGTTGGAGTGATTGACTATGAGGACTAGGGTTTGAAACCTCAGTTGGCTATGGAAAGCCAGTAGTTGACCATGGCCAAGCCACAGAGGAAGGCAAAAGGAAATGCCATTTTCCAGCAGGCATCCCAGGTGAAGAAAGGAAAGAGAGACATATGTGCAAGGGACATAATAGGAGGAGAGGCAGCACATCCTCCAGCTGCACTCAAAAAGAAAAACAAATAAACAAGCAAACAAGAACAAAAAAAATGAAACTCCCCTTACATAAAACATCCCACCTGATTTTGTTTCTTTACGTCGAGGTTTACATCTTCCAGTGCTCATATCTGCCCCCYCCCCTTCAGTACCCTTCTCTGAGGCTGGCCCTCCCTCAAACTGCCAACTATCCTAGTCTCCTTCAGATGCTCTCCTCAATCTCCTTCTTGGTTCTCACTCCCATCTCTATCTCCTGGTATTTCCTGCCCCCTTCTCCCCCAACAACCACCTTCTTTTCATCTCATGTCTCCTTCCCTTCTTCTCCCACCCCCACTGTTCTCTTTCTATCCCAGCTTCTCCTCCTTCTTTCTCTCCACTTCATTAGTCCTGGTTCCATACTAGTGTTTGTCCTTACTCCCTTCTTATCTTGTCTTTCGCTCCCTTCTCCTCTCCTTTCCACTCTTGCTGCTCCACCTTTTTATTCATATGCCCCACTTTAGCTCTTTTCTGAGATTTCCGGAAGATCCTTCCCTCCTCTTTTGTCCTCTTTCAGCACCCTTCCTTCCTTTCTTTGCCATTCACCCYCCTCTCCGACCTGCCCCGTCTTTTCCCTTTTATCTTCTCCACTTTGGGTACTATCATAAATCTGAAATTTTGCAAGGGGGGGGGGGTGAGGAAATATAYCCCATGGTATATTACCAGAAGTCACTCAATGCAAGCTTTTTCTACTCCATTGGAATAATGGCTCAGCACACTTTCTGTTTTTGTAATAATCTTTTATGCTTTAGTCTCTTCTCTCTTTCAATTCCAAAGTCTTTCAACTGCTTACTTTCTGGAAGCTAGGTGAGCCTTGCAATCATCTTTCATTCTACTGAGCCACTATCTGGGGAGTATGTCTGATATTTATTTCATCTTGAAATGTTACCCAAGTTTCTTAGTTCTAGTTGTTGTAAGCACTTAATCAATAAAACTAACATGCACCTGGACTCCATTTGAAAAGTTGGAAGAAATAAATATTGTACCTTGACCAAGATGAGACGGCTTTTGAGAAATTATGTGACCACTTCTATCCAAAGTGTACTGGGTACTAAAATCCTCATTCGCTGTCTTTGTTGTGATCAGAACCTAATAATAAAGATGTCAAGTGTCAGTTTCCCAAGAGGCACTTTCGGTTTCCTGTGCTCATTTGCTGGAGTGACTAGCCATGATGGTGTCACAATCCCGTCAGGATCAGAAGATCCAAATGCTATTTTGGGTCACATGAGAACAGCATAAGAGGACAGTAACTCTCTCTTTTGTCCCATTTATAAACCTCCCCGAGACATCTGCTTGGCCACTATGTGAACGTATAAAACCCCACCAGGAAATGTAGGATAGATATGTATATGTTAAACAGTATGGGGGACAAAATGGAAACCCAAGGAACCCCACAAGACAATGGCCAGAGGGTCTAACAGGAGTCCCCCAGCATCACCTTCTGGGTACGGCCCTCCAGGAAGAACCAGAGCCAGTCAAACAGTGCCTCCCATTCCCATCCTAGCAAGATGACCCAGAAAAATACCATGGTCAATGGTACTGAAAGCTACTGAGAGATCCAGGAGAACCCAACAGGGACAAAATCCCCCGTCTAGCTCTCTGTGTAGGTCATTTACCACGGCGACCAAAGCTGTCTCTGTTCCATAGCCAGGCCTGAAACCAGGTTATCTAGATCCATTCCCATCTGGTTTCAGGTCTGGCTTGGACTCAGCGCAGAACCTAGGTGTCAGTGGTGACCAGGAGGGCCTTTGTACAATTAAAACATGTGCACCAACTGTGCCCATTTCTTGAGAAGCCAGATCTCACCATGGTGGGACATGCCTTAGTTACATCCCATCTGGTTTCTGTAATGCACTCTACGTGGGGCTGCCTCCGAAGAGTGCTCAGAAATTTCAGCTGGTTCAAAGAGCTGCAGCCAGGTTGCTAAATGGGACTGGCTACAGGGAGCAGACAACCCCCGTTGAAGCAGCTCCACTCGATGCCAGTCTGTTTCTGGGCACAATTCAAAGTGCTGGTTATGACCTTTAAAGCCCCAGATGGTTCAGGTCCAGGCTATTTGGCTGACCGCACCCCCTTGTATGAATATGCCCAGGCTCTGAGATTTTCAGAAAAGGCCCTTCTCTCAGTCCTGCCTCCATCTCAAACTCGGTTGACTGCCCTTCGACTCTAGAACTCCAGAATGACTCCTTCCCTGATGTCCTTCTAGCATCAGACTAAAACCTTTGTATTCACGCCGGCTTTGAAGAATTAGGTGTTTAGGCTCTAGTCAGGGGGTGCTGTGGTATTTAATTCAGGGGTGCTATGGGTGAGATTGTGGAGAATATGTATTTTAATTTTGTTTTACCACACCATTAGTTAATTGCTTTTTAACTTTTGTAGTGTACCTTTTAAACTTTCCTAATGTGGAGTGTTAGCCACTTTGGGTCCCCATGGAGAGAAAGAAGGGGCATAAAGTCAACAACAACAACAACAAGAACAAGAACAACAACACTCTGCCTCTTCTAGAAAGCAGCACTTTAATTTCAGAGATTACTATAGTGCCTGTTAAACAACTTGCATACTTGTCACAATGAGTTATTTCCCTCCAATAGCCTGTACTGATACACCACTTGCAACTATGTTTTACCAACAAACAGAAACCTGGAAATTATATTGGACTTTTACCTCTGACGTGGAACAAATTGAGGCCAAAGCTTCACCACGAAAGCCATATGATGTCAAGCTTTCAAGATCTTGGGAAGAACTGATTTTTGAAGTGTAGTGTTTCACTGCCATGACAGGGACATCAGCTGCCCCGATTCCATCACCGTTATCTCGAACTTCAATCTTATCAAAACCATAGTTTTCCTGTTTTAAAGAAAAACACAGACAAACCACAACTGCAAATTAGAGACTCTGTTCAGTACAAAGGTCTATTCCAGTGTAAGGATAATGCAGAACAAACCTTACACTTTGTCAAGGAACTCAGCTTAATGATATGGCATTAAGATAAGACCCATAAGATTTGAGTAAAATCAAACACAGGTTGCTCTCTGTATCCACAGATTCTGTATTCATGGATCCAATCATCTACAGCTTGAAGATATTCCAAACGAAATTACAAAAAGGAAACCTTGCTAGTTCCTATGCTTTGTACTGTACACTATAAGACATCGTGTCATACTTGTAGCATCCATCCTCTTCATATCCTGTAATATCTAACTGGTAGTTGAAACATAAACTTTCTATTAAAAAAACACAGCCTGTGGCATCCTCTGGTGGCCATAATGAAGACCTACAATCTCCATCTTTAACTCATATTACAAAATCTTTCGATTGGGTATTCCTGAAGTTAGTGCAACATTGGCAAATGAACACATATGAGTCTTGCGCACATGAAAGACTTATTTCTCCACTGTTGCATCTCTTGGACACAACTGAGCTCATTAGTGCTTTCAAAATTAGTACTTTAATTTAACAAAAGGCCTTCTTGAGGAGCTTGCTCTTCCTTGCTTTGCTTCTCAAGTGCCACCCAAAAGCCATTCAAATAGGCTGTGTTGGGAGAGAAAGAATGTCCATTGTCAAACCTCCTTAGAAGGCAACTCCACTGGGCTGTCATCTAATACCAGGATGGGAAATCCCAAAATATCAGAACCTGGATTTTCTTGTTTTCTTTCTCTCCCCCCCCCCCCCCTTTCTTACTGCCTCCTGCTTTTGGGAACTGTAACTCTTAAGGGTATTCTCGGTACAGTGAAGAATTAATGCAGTTTGACACTACTTTAACTGCCATGGCTCAATGATATGGAACTATGGTGGTTATAGTTTCACATGGTAAAACCTTGTTGCCAAAGTGTGCTGATGCCTCACCAAACTCCAACTCCCAGGATTCCACAGCACTAATCCATGGCAGTTAAAGTGGTGTCAAACTGCATTATTTTGATAGTGTGGGTGCACCCTCTGTCCCCCTCTTCCTCCTCTAGTCCACTCTTTTGGATACAAAGTCCACTTTGGCAACCTTTTCAGGTGAACAGTAGAATAAAATATCAATTTAAAATCAAACTTTTAGCCTTTCAAATTCCTAGAGCACTCTGACTCTAATCTGAAATAAATTAAGTCACACTGTTCTATGTGTAGCATTTTTATAGACATTAATTATTTTAATCTGTGTTTAATCTTATGTTTATATGTTTTCAATCAACGTAGGCTCAATGGATTTTTGTTTAACCAATTGCATTTTAACTCAGTTGTATTCCATCTTGAGCCTTGGGAAGATGGAAGTAAGAAATAAAATTCACTGCTATTGTTTCTGAAATAGAAATTCAGATCCAAAAGTCTATGCATGATATGCTACAAGTATGGAGGTCTTTTGGCTTTCCTATCTGAAAAGTTGCCTTTCCCAAATATACAAGAGGGATTTGTCACATTCACTATCCCCAAATACTATATAGCAGGGGCAAAACAACTAACCTCAGTTGGAGGGATGGTGTGACACTTTGACTGGTGCAGCAAGATTTTTAAGGGTTCTTGATTCTAGTACAGAGATATCATTTGGGCTCTGCCATTGTAGAACTGCACATAACTGCTTTCTATGCCATTCTATCACAAATTGAGTTGACATCTGAAATGTCAACTTAATTCATGATAGAATCTTTGGAAAATGTTACTGCAATTGATAGCTGTAACCCAATAGCAAGAAAAACACACAAGGGGACTAATAAATGTCATTGAAAATAAATGGAAATCTTATTAAACTAGAAAACAATTAAAATCATTGGAATAATAAAAGCTGAAACCATTTAAAAAGCAATCTGAAGAATTGTGTGGCAACGTTATTTCTAAAAAATGCTTCCCTGTAGCAGTAATAGACACAAGAGAAAAATATAAGACTCAAATCTAACAAATCTAACGCCTTCACAATAAAGAAATATTATTGCATTTCCATATGTATATACAATCTCAATCCCAGCTTTATACAACTTACCAACTTAACATCAACATTTGTTGCATTAGCATCTAAAGAATTCTCTATCAGTTCTTTGACCACACTGACAACGGATGTGATGACCTGTGAGCTTGAAAGAATTCGGACAGTTTCTGCTGGCAATTGCTTCATTTCAAGAATTTCTGGACCAAATCTAAAACAGAAAAACATCCCAAAGTTTTAAAAACTATATACGTAAAAGGGTTTGCTTAAAGAAGAATGCTCTTACAGTTTGAGCATCCCTTATGCAAAATACTGAGACCAAAAGTATTTTGGATTTCTTATTATTTTATTTTGGAATGAGACCAAAGTCTAAACAAAACAAATTATGTATCTTATACAACTTATACCTATAGCTTGAAGGTAGCTTTATACAATATTTTTAACAATTTTGTGCATGAAACAAAAGTTTGTGTACATTGAACCATCAGAAAACAAAGCAATAACTATAGTAGTTGTCACCATAGGTCATTTGAGCATTGTCCTGAGTTTGAAGTTGTTGTTATTATATAGTCTTTACTTTATTGTTTTGTACTGTGTGTGTTTTATATTTTGTCCTAGGCAATTCGTGTCATATGTAAGCCACCCCGAGTCCCTTCGAGGAGATGGGAAATGAAGTTATTATTATTTCAGATTTTGGAATTGATGATCAATGTTTACTTTTCACTTTTGTGTTTTTATTGTGTTTTACAACTTGTTTCAATAGTTTTTTGAGAGCAAGCAAGATTTAGAATAAATATTTTCCTTAAGTAAAAACAAAAGGGCAAAAACAGTGTTAGTCATCTTATTTAACTTTACTATATTTTTTAGACTGTGCCACAATCGGTTCCAAATCTTGTTTTCATGGAAGGAATGCAGCTTTTTCATCTATTGCTTACAATTATATAGACTATTTGGTTTCTGTATCAGCTATATTCACAGCCCTCTCTGGTTGCCTCAAGAATGTATTTGTTGTGAATAAATCATCACAATATTGTATAAATCACTCTTCTGCTTCATTTCTTGATCCTAGGACAAGTTCTCTTGCAGTGCTTGGTTTTGTCCTGTTTCATGGTTTTGAACACTAGTCACTTATAAAGACCAGCATGAGGATACTACTGTATAATCTTTCAATTTCTTCCTCATCTGCTTCCGGAGTTGGGCATAAACTTGGATCCCTGCTGTATTTATAATTTTTTTTCCTGAAGTTTCACTGATATCATTATTTGCCCTCCCTGGTTTTGCTTCATTTCATCCCACACCATACCTTTGTTTATATTTATTTCCAGAATAAAACATTGCATAATTATAATGTATAATTGAAAACGGCCTATTCCTGTTCTCTTTCTTTCTTTCCTGTATTTGAGCTCACTCATTTCAGGCATGTCAATTATTATATGTTCTAATTCTTGTTTTACAATATCCAATATATGGCATTCTTGTTATTTCTTACCCATTTTGACTTAAAGATAAAAGTGGAAAATAATAAATTGAAATATGGCAATAGGACATAGCTTGAGTGAATGACCGTTTGTACCTTTAAGAGGCCGCAGTAGAGAAAATGAGTCAGGATTATAGAACATTTTACCTTTCAAAACTAAGTATAGTATTTGAGACAAAACTTCAAAAATAAACTTAAGCACAATTCAAGGAAAACTGGTTCCACGAACCTGAAGAGGAAGTCAACTATGATCTCCAATGTAGGGTGACTTATTCTCACATAAATGTGTAGTAGAAATTAGCATAAAATTACAAATCAGGAGCAGATGGACACAACAGACAACACGTTCTACCATAAACAACGGCAGTTTTACTCCATTTAAAAACTGCTGTGTTATTAAAGAAATGAATCTATTCTTAAACAGAAGTTAAGAGATACATTTCCTCAGGTCCCTGAGGGTTGAAAAGTAGGAAGGCGAAAACTTAAAATCTGTTTTCCATATTCTCGATGGAAGGTGCAATTCTTGATTGAGTGTATAATGCCAAAGTAAAGATATATGATGGGGCAAATTAAGCTAGCATGCTGCAGGTGGCAATAAACACTGCCTCTGAAGTCTTGCTTTGCCATAACATCACAACTGCAGAGCCTAAGTGGGAACAGAGAGTGTTTAGGGGTGCAGCTACACTGTAGAATGAGTGCAGTTTAACAGCACTTTAACTGATGCGGCTCAATGCTATGAAATCATGGGAGCTGTGGTTTTAGAGTCATAGAATCATAGAGTTGGAAGAGACCTCATGGGACATCCAGTTCAACCCCTTGCCAAGAAGCAGGACAATTGCATTCAAAGCACCCCCAACAGATGGCCATCCAGCCTATGCTTAAAAGCTTCCAAAGAAGGAGCCTCCGCCACCCTCCAGGGCAGAGAGTTCCACTGCTGAACGGCTCTCACAGTCAGGAAGTTCTTCCTCATGTTCAGATGGAATCTCCTTTCTTGTAGTTTGAAGCCATTGTTCTACGTCCTAGTCTCCAAGGAAGCAGAAAACAAGCTTGCTCCCTCCTCCCTTTAGCCTTCTCTGACAAAATAATGCTGATGCCTCATCAAACCAGGATTTCTTGAAAGGGCAGACATTGTCTAACATTTTATTTTTTTAAAATATCTTTTTTGGCATTTTGGTTACAAATGGTAAAAGGGGAGGGAGGGAAAGGGGGGAGGAAAGAATAAAGAATGTTTAACATTTTAAAAATCATAGTTTTTCAAAGAAACCAAAATACCCTAAAGGCACCAGACTCCATCTGACCTTGGAAGCTAAGCAGGGGCATTTTGATCAGTACTTGAATGGGAAAAAACCAAAGAACACCAGGTGCTGGAGGCTATATTTCAGAGGCTAATATTGCTGTGTATTCCTCTTCTAAGAATATTCCACAGAAATGGATGTGCTTGCCAAAACTTATCAGGCGACTTGAAATAACGTACACATAGTTTTCAATGTAGATGTATGCAACTACAAAGCAGAGCACTAAATATTTCAATCTCGATTTTGCCCATTTCATATAAGGGACCTCATTTGACTATGCGATTCTTTGTAACGGGACTTGAACCTCCATGGATTTTGCTATCTACAGGCGCCTGGACCAAAACACTGCTGATACCCAGAGTTTATGTCTATGTCCGGAATAAATAAAGATTTGATTATGTTTATTTTGAGGTCTCAAAATTACAATATACAAGCAGTACCCAAGTTACAAACAAAATAGGTTCTGTAGGCCTGTTCTTAAGTTGAATTTGTGTGTAAATTGGAACAGCTAATTTTTTAAAGTGTAACTCCAGCCAAAAGCATGTATCCTTTTAGCTTTGGATAGCATAGGGAAGGGTGACACCCTTGAGGTGTTTTTTTGTCATACTCAGATAATGTGGGATTTTCTGCCTTGATATTCTGGGATATAGGGCTGTGCAGAAGGGCCCTACGATCACACTGCCATATATTCCAGTTCAAAGATATAATGTGGGATTTTATTCAGCTGTGTGGAAGGGGCAAAAAAATAAAACTTTGTGGTAAGTTTAAAAATGTTAACCACAAGAGGTTCTTATTGATAAAACAGTTAAAACTAGTTGGTATTGGGTTCGATTTAAATGTCTCCATCACTCAAGCTGTAGTTAACCATGGTCAAAAGCCTGTCTCTACATCTGTGTTTTTAGTTCTGTTTAGTAACCTGCCTCAAACTATGAGGAGAATAAGGCGGGTAAGAAATAAAACTATTATTATTAGTAGTACTAACTGCTGTTGTGTGGACTTATCGTGTTTTTTTTGTTGGGTGGGGTGGGGAGGTTGCTTAGGCCCTTCCACACAGCCATATAACCCAGAATATCAAGGCAGAAGATTTCATAACATCTCCTTTGAACTAGGTTGTTCTGAGGGCCCTTCCACGCAGCCCTATATCCTAGAACAGGGGTCCTCAAACTAAGGCCCGGGGGCTGGATGTGGCCCTCCAAGGTCATTTACCCAGCCCTCGCTGAGGGTCAGCCTAAGTCTGGAACGACTTGAAAGTACATAACAACAAAAACAATCCCATCTCATCAGCCAAAAGCAGGCCCACATTTCCCATTGAAATACTAATAAGTTTATATTTGTTAAAATTGTTCCTAATTTTAATTATTGTATTGTTTTAAGTGTTTTTTACACTACAGATAAGACATGTGAAGTGTGCATAGGAATTCATGTTTTTTTTTTTCTTCAAATTATAATCCGGCCCTCCAACAGTTTGAGGGACTGTGACCTGGCCCTCTGTTTAAAAAGTTTGGGGACCCCTGTCCTAGAATATCAAGGTAGAAAGTCCCACAATATCTGCTTTGAACTTTGTTATCTGACTCCACACTCAGATAATGTGGGATTTTCTGCCTTGATATTCTGGGATATAGGGCTGTGTGGAAGGGCCCTGGGTCCACACTGCCATATATCCCAATTCAAAGCAGATAACGTGGGATTTTATTCAAATATATGGAAAGGCCCTTAGATGCCTCTACCTAGAGTGATTGTAGAGAATCCTAAGAGTGCGTCTACACCAGGGGTCCTCAAACTAGGACCCGAGGGCTGGATTCAGTCCTCCAAGGTCATTTGCCCGGTCCTCATTCAGGGTCAACCTAAGTCGGAAACGACTTGAAAGCACACAACAACAATAACAATCCTATCTCATCAGCCAAAAGCAGGCCCACACTTCCCATTGGAATACTAATAACTTTTGTTGTTGTTCATTCGTTCAGTCTTCGTGACCTCATGGACCAGCCCACGCCAGAGCTCCCTGTCGGCCATCACCACCCCCAGCTCCCTCAAAGTCAGTCCAGTCACTTCAAGGATGCCATCCATCCATCTTGCCCTTGGTCGGCCCCTCTTCCTTTTGCCTTCCACTTTCCCCAGCATAATTGTCTTCCAGGCTTTCCTGTCTCCTCATGATGTGGCCAAAGTACTTCAACTTTGTCTCTAGTATCTTTCCCTCAGGTGAGCAGTTGGGCTTTATTTCCAGAAGTATGGACTGGTTGGATCTTCTCGTGGTCCAAGGCACTCTCAGAATTTTCCTCCAACATCACAGTTCAAAAGCATCTATCTTTCCCTCAGCCTTCCCTAAGGTCCAGCTCTCACATCCGTAGGTTACTACAGGGAATACCATGGCTTTGACTAGGCGGATCTTTGTTGCCAGTGTGATGTCTCTGCTCTTTACTATTTTATTGAGATTGGACATTGCTCTCCTCCCAAGAAGTAAGCGTCTTCTGATTTCCTGGCCACAGTCTGCATCTGCAGTAATCTTTGCGCCTAGAAATACAAAGTCTGTCACGGCCTCCACATTTTCTCCCTCTATTTCCAGTTGTCAATCATTCTTGTTGCCATAATCTTGGTTTTTTTGATGTTTAGCTGCAGCCCAGCTTTTGCGCTTTCTTCTTTCACCTTGATTAGAAGGCTCCTCAGCTCCTCCTCGCTTTCGGCCATCAGAGTGGTGTCATCTGCATATCTGAGGTTGTTAATGTTTCTTCCAGCAATTTTCACCCCAGCTTTGCATTCATCAAGCCCCGCACATCGCATGATGTGTTCTGCATACAAGTTAAAAAGGTTGGGTGAGAGGATGCAGCCTTGCCGTACGCCTTTCCCAATCTTGAACCAGTCTGTTGTTCCATGGTCAGTTCTTACTGTTGCTACTTGGTCCTTGTACAGATTCCTCAGGAGAGAGACAAGGTGGCTTGGGATGCTCATCCCACCAAAAACTTGCCACAATTTATTATGATCCACACAAAGGCTTTAGAATAGTCAATGAAGCAGAAGTAGATGTTTTTCTGAAACTCCCTGCCTTTCTCCATTATCCAGCGGATATTGGCAATCTGGTCTCTCGTTCCTCTACCTTTTCTAAACCCAGCTTGAACATCTGGCAACTCTTGCTCCATGTATTGCTGAAGTCTTCCTTGCACACTTCCCAATGAAATACTAATAAGTTTATATTTGTTAAAATTGTTTTTCATTTTAATTATTGTATTGTTTTAAAGTGTTTTTGCACTACAAATAGGATATGTGCAGTGTGCATAGGAATTCATTTTTTTTCAAATTATAATCCGGCCCTCCAACAGTTTGAGGGACTGTGACCTGGCCCTCTGTTTAAAAAGTTTGAGGACCCCTGGTCTACACTGTAGAATTAACGGAGTTTGATAACACTTTGGGCCCTTCCACACAGCCCTATATCCCAGAATATCAAGGCAGGTAATCCCACAGTATCTGCTTTGAACTGGGTTATCCGAGTCCACACTCAGATATTGTGGGCTATACTTACCTACTTAGCCCTCGTTGGCCGAGTAGGATAGTCTTCCAGGATCAGTATTCTTGTGGATCCGTAGGTGACTGTGGAGCACTATTCTTGATCTGCATCTTCTTCCGCAGTGAGGGCATCGGTTTCCAGGTGGAAGGCGATCTCAGTTGGGGTCAGTTTGACACACCTTTTTCTTGGCACGTTTCTCTCTTTCACCCTCCATTCATGCGTCTTCAAATTCTGCAGCACTGCTGGTCACAGCTGACCTCCAGCTGGAGCGCTCAAGGGCCAGGGCTTCCCAGTTCTCAGTGTCTATGCCAGAGATGGGGATATAGGGCTGTGTGGAAGGGTCCTTTAAGGGCCATGGCTCAATACGCTTGCAAATATGGGAGTTAAGAGTTTGAGGAGGCCTCACCAAACTACCAGGCAGTTCAAGTGGGGTCAAACAGTGTGACTCCTACAGTGAAGTTTCCCCAAAAGGTAAACAAAGCGGCACAAGGATGCCATGTGGAGGGATGCCTTCTTGTTTACCTCCCTAGGAAAGCGACTGTCATTCTTCCTCTAGGAAAGGGAACGCCGGATAATAAGGACGCGGACGCAGCGTACCTTAGATTCCTTATCCGCGCCTGGATCAGTGCTGGGAACGGCGCGTTCCAGCCCACGCATGCGCACTTGGGGGCCACGGCGGCGCCTGGGCCGCGTGAGACGAATGGGCGGGGCCGAGGGGGGCGGGGCTATTTCGGACCAATCCTCGGCCGCGGCTCCTCACGCGGGGCGACGTTGCATAGCGGAGCGGCCTCAGTTGCAGGGTCGAGCTCGGCGGGGAGGAAGCAGAGGAAGAGGGAGGAGAGGCCTCTCCCGTTTCGGGAAGGGCCGAGGAGGTACGTATGGAGGGCCCCAGGCTGCGCGTCCTTCTCCCGCTGTTGCTTCTCCCTTCGGGGAACAATGCTGCAAAGCCACCAAGGCCTGCTCCTCCTCCCCTTCTGGGGCTTGTTTCTGCCCTGAAGGAAATATCCCAGGCCACCTTTTCAGGCTCGAATGTGCCGTTAACGGCCTTGGCTCAGTGCTGTGGCATCATGGGAGTTGTAGTTTTTGCAAGGTCTTCCGCCTTCTCTGCCAAAGGGTTCCGGGGCCTCATCTAAAGCCCCACCCCGGATTCCATTGCAGCTCAAGTGGTGTCAACATGGATTCATTATTCAGTGGAGATCAAACTTGGGCCCTCCAGGTGTTTTGGACTTCAACTCCCACCATTCCTAACAGCCTCAGGTCCCTTCCTTTTCCCCCTCAGCCGCTTAAGGGGAAAAGGAAAGGGCCTGAGGCTGTTAGGAATTGTGGGAGTTGAAGTCCAAAACACCTGGAGGGCCCAAGTTTGCTCATGCTTAATGTAGATGCACATTTGGAAAATCAGGGATTTGGTATTATTATTATCTTTATTTCTATCTTGCCTTTCTCCCCATGGGGACTCAAGGCAGCTAACATCTAGCCACACAAAGCATTTTACAAAAGAGCCATGCAAAAGTTAAAAAACAATTAAATAATAGTGCAATAAAAACAGAATTAAAATACAGCAAACACATTAAAATGGCCTTCAACATTCCAACCCCCCTCCAATCCTACCCACCTTCCCCAGCTTTCAAGTCAAAGTCACTTTATTTTATTATTATTATTATTATTAAACTTTATTTGTACCCTGCTAGCATCTCCCAAAGGACTCGATGCGGCTTACAAAGGCCAAGGCCTCAACACAACAACAACAACAGACAATAATGATACAATACAAAGCAAAAATTAAAAACATAAGCAATGACAAAAACATTACACTATTACGTAATAAAACCAGGGCTGGGCCAATGATGGGTACAGGTTAAAAGTGCTGGGTGTGAGAGATGGTATATTGGAATTCTGGGCAAGTGAAATGTGCAGAGAGTCTTAAACTCTAATAAAGAGCTTCTGGGACAGAGTGCTGGGAGATTATCCTATTCTGGAAAGGCACATCGGAATAGCCAGGTCTTCAAGTTCTTCCTAAAGACTGCCAACGTGGGTGCTAGTCTAATGTCTTTGGGGAGGGTGTTCCAAAGTCGGGGGGGGGCAACCACAGAGAAAGCCCTGTCCCTCGTCCCCACCAAACGCGCCTGCGACGCAGGTGGGATCGCGAGCAGGGCCTCTCCGGATGAGCGAAGGGAGCGTGTGGGACTTAAGGCCCCTTCTGAACCGCCATGTAATCCAGATTATCAAAGCAGATATTCCACATGATCTGCTTGGGATTATATGAGTCTACACTGCCATATAATCCAGTTCAAAACCGATAATCTGGATTTTATATGGCATTCTAGGACACATTCCATAGAGTTGTATAAAAACCCACATTATCTGCTTTGAACTTGATTATATGGCAGTGTGGACTCTAATAACCCAGTTGAAAGCAAATATTGTGGGATGATCTGCCTTGAAATTCTTGGTTATATGGCTGTATGGAAGGGCCCTAGATGGGGCCTGGAGGCCTTTCCACACAGCTTATATCCCAGAATATCAAGGTAGAAAATCCCACAGTATCTGCCTTGAATTGGGTTATCTGAGTCCACACACAGATAATGTGGTATTTTCTGCCTTGATATTCTGGGATATAGGACTCTGTGGAAGGGCCCTGAGAGAAAGAATTCAAAGGCATAACTGGAATATCAGTAAACTAAAGGAGCCCCTGGTGATGCAGTGGGTTAAACCCTTGTGCCGGCAGGATTGAAAACCGATAGGTCGCAGGTTCAAATTGGGGAGAGCGTGTATGAGCTCCCTCTGTCAGCTCCAGCCCCCCATGTGGGGACATGAGAGAAGCCTCCCACAAGGATGGTAAAACATCCAGGCATCCCCTGGGCAATGTACTTGCAGACGGCCAATTCTCTCACACCAGAAGCGACTTGCAGTTTTTCAAGTCACTACTGACACGACCAAAAAAAAAAAGTAAACTAAAGGAACTCTGTAGCATCTTTCAGTCAGAAGGAAGTTGGTGTCTTAAACTTTTATAGATTAAGTTCTCTGCATCTGAGGAGCAAACTCGAGGCCCTTCCACACAGTCATATAACCCAGAATATCAAGGCAGAAAATCCCATAATGCCTGTTTTTGAACTGGATTATCTGAGTCCACACTGCCATATATTCCAGTTCAAAGCAGATAATGTGGGATTTTATTCAGCTGTATGGAAGGGGACTCTGTCTGCAAAAGCTTATGCTCCAATTTCTTAATAATCTTCATAAGCCTGTATCTTGATACTTCAAAGGTGGTACAAAATCTCTTGGTCCATTATATATGTGAGTGAGTGAGGAAGCCTTGCAGTAAAAATGTAGCTGTGAAAGCTGGATTTTCAAATATATATTCATGTCTCATCTACAGATGGTATTCTTATGATTAAACTAATTCTCTGCTAATGTTGTATTGGGTCCTAACACCCTAAGCGTTTCCACATTGATCCATTAAAAGTTTTAACTTGCCAGAAAGTGTGTTTGAGATCACAGCTTTAATTGTAGATGGGTCCAGGTGAGTTTGGAAAGGTAGTAACTAACTTTCAAGTCAGTGTAACTTTCATTACATTACAAGCCTGCTCATCCACCAGTGGCTCATAAGCTTGCACCCATTTGTCTCCTGGGTTGTGATCTCATTGTTCTGATAGTAATTGTAGGTCATTTTTTCTTTCTTTCTTGGACTGGAAACATGTTCTTTAGGATTAAAACATGCTCTGAATACTCCTTGCTCCAAAAATAACTTATGGAGAAAAATCACGGGTTAAGAGATGGCTTGAAGACATATGCACAGAAGGTGGATGGATGTGTACATATTACCAGAACCAGACTGGTGCAAGGTTTTCATCTGATCTCAACACTCAGCCTACTTTGTTAATGTAAAATGTGTTAAAACACTTGTGGAAAATCCATTGTCTCTCGCTCTCACTCTCTTTTTGTCTCTTCAGAATGAGAAATATCATATTCCTAGCAACAGCTGTCTAGTTTTCCTTAACATATCTTTTTTATGTCTATATAGCAGAACTTTCCAAACTCTGTGCATTGACATGTTAGTGTGTCAGCTGCAGTGGGTCACACGAATGTAGGTGGGTCACACGAATGTAACAAGAAATGACAAAAATATTGGAAATATGTTATTATCTTACTAATCCTATGTATTTAAAAATATAAATGAAATATTTTCATGAGATATGTTGTGTCCTCATACATTTCATTGTTATAAATTATGAGTCCGTATTTCTTCTAAGGGGTTGGTTTTACCTCTGTTTTGCTGGTAAAACTGAATTACTGTGTCAAGAAATGCCAGTCTAAAAAGTGTGTCACAAACATGAAATGTTTGGAAAGTTCTGTTATATAGCATAAGTGGTCATTATGCAGGTCTCCAGATGTACTTAGACTGCATCTCCCATCAGTCTTAATTAATAAAGCCAGTCGGAAGTGAAGTGGCAGTCCACAAGAACTAGAGCAGTGTTGTCCCCAGGTATTTTGGCCTGCAACTCCCAGAAACCCCAGCGAGTTTACCAGCTGTTAGGATTTCTGGGAGTTGCTTGACTTCTTTTAAATAATTTTACATTGAAATGTATTGAATAGTTTTCATTGTTACCCCTATGTTTCGATAGTATTCTAATGTTATGCTCCAGTTTTGAATATTCCTGGACAGGGAACTGAGTGTTTACATTGTCCTGAAAACAAATAAAAATGTTAAGAAAGCTTGCAAATCAAGAATCCGGAACACCCTGTGAAGTTTTTCACTGTAAGATATTGAGCAATATTTATACAATTGTTTCTTTCAAGAATCACCCATAATCTCATAATGGAATATAAATATAATGAATATTCCTACTGTATATTCTTGTAACACTTTTCTTTTGCAAAATTATTTTTCAGATCTGTTTTAAAAAATGAATGTCGGGGTTGCCCACAGTGAAGTCAACCCCAATACAAGGGTGATGAATAGTAGAGGGATGTGGCTCACATATGCTCTTGGCGTTGGCTTGCTTCATATCGTCTTGCTCAGCATTCCTTTCTTCAGTGTTCCAGTTGCCTGGACCTTAACGAATGTTATTCACAATTTGGTAAGTACCCTAGTTTGAGACAGGATTTTACTGAGAAATGTCTCTATGTAAAAAAAGAGGAAGACTGCTTTCTCAGAAATAAGTCTTTTAAATGTGTTGTCTCAAACTCCAAATAATTACAATAAATGGTTAACATTCTTTTTTACCATTTTAAAAACCCTGAAACCAAAAAAGTATTTGCTGACTAATGTAATGCGTAGCAGGAAAAGGTGTATGCTTTGTAATATGTCAGTTACAGTTGCTGCCTGCTTAGAATTCCTTCTTTAAAAACAAAAGCGTTAGAGCACCAAAGCTTTCAGCAGTGGAAAAGAAAACCTTGAGGTGCATCTATGCTGTTGAATGAATCTACTTTAACTGTCTTGGTTAAATGCTATGGAATCATGAGGGCTGTATTTGACAAGGCCTTGAGTCCTTTCTGTCAAAGAATGTAGATGCCTCATCAAACTACAAATCCCAGGATTACATTACCTTGAGTGATGACAATTAAATTACAGATGATGTCCCTCAAATAGGAGCTCTAGGTAATCCTGAAGCAGCTTCCTTTTTTTTGCTTTGGCTCAGCACTAAGATTATCACATTACACGAATCTAATGCACACCCTATTTTGGCAAGAGGATTTATCCAAAAAGGTGAGTGTTAAATTCGAGTAAATACAGTAATTGCTAATGGGATTTTTTTCTTTTTGTACAATTCTAAGGAGGTGAATATAAAATTCTAAGATTTTATTTGGATTTCTTTTCTACCACAAGAGCTCCCAGATGGATTTACAAAATAATTGTTGGATAGGATCCAGTACTCTCATATCAAGATCTACACTGCACTTAAAAGCAATTTTATTAGACCTCTGGAACATCCATTTCTTCAACCTATAGCTGTGTGAACATCACTACCACTTCTAGGTCAGCGTTTCTCAACCCGGGGATTGGGACCCCTGGGGAGGTTGTGCGGGGGTGTCAAAGGGGTCACCACAGACCATCCGAAAACACAGTATTTTCTGTTGGTCATGGGGGTTCTCGATGGGAAGTTTGGTCCAATTCTATCATCGGTGCGGTTCAGAATTCTCTTTGATTGTAGGTGAACTATAAATCTCAGCAACTACAACTCTCAAATGACAAGCTCTATATTCCCCCAATTCTACCAGTGTTACATTTGGGCATATTGGGGGGCTTTGTGCCAAGTTTGGTCCAGATCCATCATTGTTTGAGTCCACAGTGCTCTAACTGTATGTAGGTGAACTACAACTCCAAAACTCAAGATCAGTGCCCACCAAGCCCTTCCAGTATTTTCTGTTAGTCATGGGAGTTCTGAGTGACAAGACTGGTTCAGTTCAGTTCCATCATTGATGGAGTTCAGAATGCTCTTTGATTGTAGGTGAACTATAAATCCCAGCAACTACAACTCCCAAATGACAAAATCAAAGCCCCTCCAACCCCACCAGTATTCAAATTTGGGCATATTGTGTATTTGTGCCAAATTTGTCCAGTGAATACATCCTGCATATCAGATATTTACATTACAACTCATAACAGTCGCAAAATTACAATAATGAAGGAGCAACAAAAATAATTTTATGGTTGTGGGTCACTACAACATGAGGAACTGTATTAAGGGGTCGCGGCATTAGGAAGGTTGAAAAACACTGTTCTAAGTGACTTTACCTCCTAACTGTTTGATCAGTGAAAACGCAAAGGCCACCTGGACCATATTCTCTTTGGCTGAGAGCCCTTCCAGATAGGCCCTTTATCCCAGGATCTGATCCCAGGTTTTCTGTTTATCCCAGATTATCTGGCAGTGCTGACTCATAATCCAGTTTAAAGCAGAAAACCTGGGATCAGATCCTGGGATAAAGGGCCTTTCTGAAAGGGCCCTCTCTTTGACTACACCCAGACCCTGCAAATGAGACATCTTTTAGTGTGCAGACCCTAGATTCACAAAGTATTAGTATTTTTAGAGTTCTAAGTCTGTGTGTAAATGTAGGAACAAGTGCCATTGAAGTTATTGCTGCTAATTTGACTAGTCATACATTACTCAAATCATTATGTACAGAACTTTGGATATTTGAGTATAGCTGCAGACGTCAATCTTAAGTCTGCAAACTCTTAAAGTGTTGTCTGGCATCACTAGCAAGCATACAAGTAATATTTCAGTGAGGAGTGCTATGACTACCACATTCCAATAGGAAAAAAAGTTGCTGTCTCAGAACCTAAGTCTGCATTTCCATTAGAAAAGACTGACAGTCATGCTGACACATGAGTAATACTGTGTGGGAAGGCATCTCTTTAAATCTAAGCTGCCATCTAAAGTGGTTATTTATTTTATATACCTTCTGTAGTTAACTGAAATTTACAACTTTTAATGCAGTAAGTTACCTTTGGGCATATCAAAGAAAGTGCTGTACTATCAATTATATCAGATCTTTCATGAAATGATCTTGGCCAACATTAATATTGAATGGTTACATAGCTTGTGTAGGAGCAAACACCTTATTCTATGTGGAAAGCTCTCTAGAGTCTATAGTTATGTAATTTCTTTTATATTAACTTCTGTCAGAAGACCCAAAACTGCTTACAGCCGTTAAAACAGAATAAAACTGAAGACCTGATGATAAAAAGAGTTTAAACATAAGGAAACAGACTGTCATATTAAAACATTAATTTAAAAAAACCCTATGAAGTTGTTTAAAATGTAAAGATTAAAAGACATCATAACAAATACTTGCATTAGAAAACCCTTCACTGCTAGTGCTCCCTCAAGCAATTTGCTTTACTTCATTGCAATGCAGCTCTGGGTATGATTTACATGAACTCCAATTACTTGTAAATCTGTATGATTGCTCCAGGCTTACAGTTTATTTACTATCTCTTGGGGTGTAGCTCTTGCTTGCTCTCATTGCACTATGTACTGTAACAAAATTTGGGAAAAAAATCAGTTCCTGGCTTGAAATTGTTATTTCCTGTTTAATTTTGCAGTATTTGTTTTGAAAGTAGTAGTTATACTCCAGAAAATTGGTTTTTGTGGCTGAGGGTAGTACTGTTGTGGTATTTCCTTCAATCTAGGCACGTTGTTTGTAATTTTCTTTAATGAAAATATGCAATTTGCAAAACTGTAGCAAAATGTGCTGCAAGATGTCCTTTTTAATAAACCTTTTCCATGTTTTTATGGTAAAATGAATTAGGAAATAACATTTATAATGCAGGAACAAAAGTTGTGTTACATAGTGTTTTTCAAAACTGAAATGACTGCTAATATTGATGGAACCAAAAACCAAAAAAACACATCAGCATTGTGGTTGGGTTGCTGTGAGTTTTTTGGACTGTATGGTACCATTGTTGTTATTTCTTACTTTGACTTAAGGATGAAAGTGGACAATAACCCAAGAACAAAAATTGTGCCACATAGTATAGTTTGTATCACTCCTTCCATAGGAAGAGTGTCTGTCCTAGCTTGTAATTTATAGTGTAGCTATAATTCCTTTGCTAACAGTACACATTGCTTATTGGGATCCATGTTGAGTAAAGTTTATGGTTCCACCCGTAAGTGCACTAAATTTTATGTTTAATCCAAAATCCATGAATTTAGTCCTTTGTGGTGCTTCAGCATCCCTTCTTCATTGATACTCACATTATCTTTAAATCAATGTACTCCTTATTAGGGTTACAAACCTTCTCTGGGTTGTACTGACTTCTGTGTGGTTTGTAATCCCATCCTAAATATGTAATCTAGAATCAAATCCAGTAAATTCATTGAGACTTGTATAGTTTTTGTGTTCACACTCAATTCCACCAGTTCTTAGCAGCAGGGAAAAAGGCTAGGGATAATAAGATTGTAATCAGAAATATCTGAAATGGGCTACATAGATGAAAACTAGTATGTCATAAGGTTACAATTTTTGTATAAGGTATAGAGTCCATATTTTAAGAATTATATGAATTTTCAGTGTAAGCTGGTAACAAAGGCAAGGAACTCTAAAGCCAATTAGAACAAAAGAGTAATTTCATGCCAGTGGTCTCTATATAAGCATTCCTGTTTGAACATGCACTTGTGTATGGATCATAGAGAAAAGTCCTGTCTTAAGTCGTCAGTAGTATTTAATGTTTCAAATTCCTTGGTCACAGAGATTCTCTTATGTAGCTGTGATACAATTACATGTTACCCAGTTTGTCTTTCTTCTTCTTCACAGGGAATGTATGTATTTTTACATGCAGTAAAAGGAACACCTTTTGAAACACCTGACCAAGGAAAAGCAAGGCTACTGACACATTGGGAGCAGCTGGACTATGGGGTGCAGTTTACATCCTCACGAAAATTCTTCACAATCTCTCCAATAATTTTGTAAGTTTGAAAGTTTTATTACGGGAGCATTTGTGGTCTAAAATGTTATAAACAACAACAATGGATAAGGCAAGTTGATGCTACAGCAAGTGCAAAAATATTTAGGATGTGTGTACTTTGTCCACAGATTTCTTCTGTATTTCATTGTAGATTACTATTTGTTTAAAGAGAAAATCGCTGGTTAAAATTTCTGTAGCGCTTTCATTTAAAAATTTATTTTATGACTTAGATCATACAATTGAACCCAGTTGGCAATTTGAATAAAAGACTATACAGTGACTGCCATACTATTGGTGAAGTCTTATTAACTATGTAACAGATACTATGTTTCCAGCATAGTCACTGAAATGACAGAAACAGGATCAAAGACTGTGCATCTGAGAATGAACCTCATTATAAAATAGTAGAACTTAAGACAATTATGGTTTGAAAGCTGTGTGCAAAAAGATAGAGACCTGTTTTTGTAGCCGTACACTCATTCAGACTACCTGAATAATTATTTTCATAGGCAGACCAAAAAGACTCAATTGCCTGTCCTGAAAACTTCTGGGGTAGCAGCAGTTCTGTTTGTTTGTTTGTGAAGCAGACATGGACATTCAACTACTTTGGGGTTCCCCCTTCTTTGGGGCACATTCCAGGCAGTCCATGCAACCTCTAGAGCAGTGGTTCTCAACCTTTGTTCCTCCAGGTGTTTTGGACTTCAACTTCCAGAAATCCCAGCCATGTTTCCAGCTGTTATGAATTGTGGGAGCTGAAGTTACCTGGAGAAGTTACCTGGAGGTTGAGAACCAGTGCTCTTGAAGGTTTTGATACAGAAAATTGGTTATAGATCCATCATAGTTCCCCCATCTCTGTCTTAGGGTGACATTCAACATTGCATTTCTAGTGCAATGGAACTTGTACTTCCCCCTGTTCCTCTCTTCATTTGCTTCAGAGTATCCCTGCTAGTTTATGCAAACAACCATTTCTTGTTCTAGAAAATGTTTTTTCTAAAACCTACTGCTATCCAGGTTATAAGCATCTACAGCAATAAAGACTCCAAATTAAAATTTCATTCTCTTTAATGTCCTGTCTATTTTTAAAAATAAAAGCCCCTAATAAATTATGAAGTGACTGCTGGGTCCCAAACCTGAGTCATACTTCCCATGGGCAGGCTTATTAACACAACTGCTTTGTGTTACCAAATAAGACTATCTATGGATAGTCTGTTTAGTCTCAGCATCCAAATCGTAGCCCTGAAACTCATGGAATGATGCAGGTTCTTGTCGGTTGTCTAGTTATGGGAACACTTGAAATATTTGCATTTATTTTAAAGTTGCTGTTTTAGATTGGTGGCTTTTGAAGCCATGTGGTTATGAACTTATGTTTGACATCTATTCAGCTCTTTGTTCACATACAAGCTCATCAGGTGGCTGTAGGAAAGCCACTGTCTTTGAACCTTTTCCTCCCCCACTCCCTTCACTGCTCCAACTGCTCATTGTCATGCCATCTGAAACAATGGCTTTGGTATGCTTTGCTCATTGAGAAAAATGCTGTATATAATGACTTGATGCAGCCATAAGTATTTATAAACCTGGGTGTAACAGAATCCTGACATATGTTTTTTTGTTTGAAATTTTTTTTGCACCAGAATAAATTTCATGAATCCTTATCCCACTGGGGAAAGAGTGTGTAGTTTATCTGTCCTAAACACCATAAGCCTTCATGACTTGCAGCATTTGGCTGTTGCATTGCTTTCAGTGGAAATTAAGTCATTAAACGGCTTTGCTGATTTGAGTAAGTAGCTGAGCAATATTTCAGTTAAATATGACTCATCTTTCCAAAAGTTCAAGTGTTTAAGCTTAAGGAAGGAAGTCCTTGAGGCCAACGATGGAGAGTTTCTACATTCCATTTGAGGACATGGATTATAATAAACCTGCTAGGCTTAATTCTTTCATTATAAGTTTATTGCTGCCATTGTGTATTATTTTGTATTATTCCTGATGTTGTTTGTTACTTTGTAAGGCATTAAATGTTTGCCTGTTTTTCTGTTGTAAACCCCCCTGAGTCCCTTTTGGGAGAGAGGTACTGTCTAGAAATAAAGTATTGTTACTACTATTATTATCAACGGCATGGAACTCATTGTTGAAAGCAGAATGTGATAATTATAGTGCAGATAGTGCACATATCTGGAGTTGCTCAAGAGGAGACTAAAACCAAAGGCTCTGCAAAATTAGGACTACTTATGGAAACCTGGCCTAAATACAAACTTTCAACACAGGTCAAAATTGGTGGATGAATCACAATGCAATAGAAATATTTGTTCATCCCATGTCCATGATGCAAGGAAAAAGTGAAATTAACCATTCACCTCTGCCTTTTTTATTTTTTGGAAAAAAAAAAGCTTTATAGAGAAGGTTATTTGACAGTACTGAAATCCTCTAACTTTAAACCATTATTCACAGCGAATGGAACTGCTACAGTAGGAAATGTTTTGTTCCCTGCTGTAGAGGCGTCTTGTGGCATGCTTTCTGACTTTTCCAGCTGAACTGGTTACAAATCAACTAAATTACAATTACAAACATTCAAAGGAGTCACCAGAAGTATCTTCTATCAATTGCACACATATCTGCTGTTTGTTCCTGTCTTTTCAAAGTCCCATTTCAAAGCCAGTAACTAATTAATGCTTTTCAGATAATAAAACTTCATTGCCTTTAAAATGGATACTTTGTGAAAAACAACAAAATCTTTAACAGTTTGCTTGTCTGCTTTGATTTGACATTTGAGAGTATTTTATGATATTAACATTTTTGTTTGCTGATAATTGGTATGAAATTAATAACTCATTGTCTTTCTTTCATCTAGAAGAAACATCTTTCCTTTCTGACCTATTCTTGACTTTCTCCCCATTAATGCCGCCTCTTCTTTTTCTGCAGGTACTTCCTAGCAAGCTTCTACACAAAATATGACCCGGCACACTTCATCCTAAATACGGCTTCCCTTCTGAGTGTACTTATTCCCAAACTGCCACAGCTTCATGGGGTCAGGATCTTTGGCATCAACAAGTACTGAGCACGAAATATGAAGTGGGAGCTATCTGACCAAAACATGCCGTAGCTGGTGGTTTTCCTTGGTGGAAAGAACAGTTTGTAGCGCCACTTCTCTAGTAATCTACCACGAGATTTTCTACTCCTAAGATGTAAATGCTGTTCTTTCAAAGCTGTGTGGGAGAGAAATAGACTTTCTAAAAGATATTAGTGGTCTACTTCAGAGAATAGGCCTCAGGAGCTGGGCAGGCCTGGCTGTGTTGTGTTAGAGCTAACAAAAAAGTGGCAAATGTGGGTATGGTTAGTTTGAAAAATAAACATAATGTATCACAAATAAGTCAGCTGTAATAAGTAGAAAAGAAAGGAGGAAATGCTTTAGTTCTCCATTTAACAGGTTGGTGTAGTTTAGATTCTGTAAAGTAGCCAGTTATTTGCTTCTTGAGTGGTTTTGCTTTCTCTTTGAGATCCAGAATTTTCTGTGTTACCAGGTTAACATTAAACATGCAATTTGCCGTGAGTGGATTGTAATGAAGTTCACGCCTTATCTATTCATGTGACCTTTAATCGCAGTGACTTCTCCAGTTTTGGATGTCAAAACTCAGGGGAATGTTACATCAGCTCTTAAGCCTTCCTTTTGTATCAGTGTAGACTGATCAATATCATTTTGCTGGTTTTTGCAGACAAAGCTGATCATTCCAAAATGGTTTCTACAGAATGCCTCAAAACTACAAACCACTCTCTCTTTTAGGGATGAATTGAGCTCCTTTCTGTATTTGCTTTCTTCAAAGAGCTGGGCTCCTGAAGAAAAAGAAAGGTTGCAGCCTCAAAAGCCAATGCAGATGGCGAAATCTTTAGCTCATACAAAAAGAGCAGTGGTCTTTCTTATTAGTAGAGATGTCTCCAGTGATAAATGACATCATTGATGCTTCTAGGAATCTTAATATGATTGGTAACTCAGCTAGCAAGTGATGCTTATGTAGTGTTTTATTAGATTTCTGCATCTAAGGTTAGGAGACTTGCTTAATTTCTTTTCCTTTGTGCATCACATCTGAGTTTGGAAGCTTTTCAGAAGGTGATGAAGTGTGTTTAGCAGATTTTTGGAGAGTTGGTGAGATACGAGAAATTGCTTAATTTAAGAACTTCAGGGTCCTACTTTCAATGTCTGATATTAGCGTGTGGAGAGACATTGTGACATTATATGCCTCTCTTCAGGATATAATGTTGTTTGAGTATAAGTTCAAGAAGAGGCATGTGTTTTCACCTATGGAATTGGGAGGTGTTGTGATTTGCTAGAAGACATGGACTTTTAATATAATTACACTCTGTCTCATTGTACTCTTTGGTCCATGCCTGCTTCTCTGCTAAAAAGGCTTTCAAATCCTAGCCAGTAGTGATTTAGCCTTCAAAGTAATAACTGGTTACTTTCTAAAAATCATCTTTCTTTTTGTTCTTCTTCCTCTGTGGAAAGTTTTTTTAAACAATGTTTTATATTAATAAAGTGGCTGACTTTGATTGATTGTATGAACGTAATACATTGTAAGGGCAGTTCACTGTACCAAAAAGTTGAAAGCATAACAAATCACTATTATGCTTTTGTAAATAGAATAATTGTATTGTAGGGTAAGTGTTTGAAACACTACATCAGATGTATGGAGAAGTAAATGAGTAGCTTTTTCAACAATAATAGAAGATGTTGTTGTGGTTCTGTCTATTCTGACATTCCTCCTCCACCGCCCCAATCTGATTTATGTGGTTTTCCCAATTAAAATTATTTGTCCTGAGAACAGTCTTTGCTTTATTTTTAACCATTCAAAGCATTGTATTATTTCAGTTTGTTTAGCTAATTAATTGGTTTACCAAAGAGCACCTGGTATTAATATCAAAACTTTTTTATTGGGCTTAACTGTTCTGCTACAGCTGTCTAGATTCAGTTCCTTAGGAGATGATGATGATGATGATAATAATAATAATAATAATAATTTTTATTTCTACCCCGCCACCATCTCCCCAAAGGGGACTCTGAGCAGCTTACATGAGGCCAAGCCCAGCAAAACAGTACAGCAACATAAAATATAAACTACAAAATAACATCACAGCAAAAATAAACCAATAAAATAAAATGAATAATACAATATAACATAATAGAAAATCAAACACAGTGGGTGGGCCAAATGTATGACATAAAATGATAAAACTCTGGATGAGATAGCAATGAAAAGTGCAATTTGTAGGGAAGGAGCTCGTAGGGGACTGAACAGTGGAGTTAAACTGTTGTGGATACAATGTAAATTACAATTATTTAACTCCCAATTATTTCTACCTGCCATAGACATCTTCCCTCTGTAGTTATGTTTCCTCCTGACTTAGAGGTTTCTTCAGTTTTTGCACAGCTCAGTTTTTCATTCCACTCTCAGACCAAGAGCCGTAGCAAACTAGGATTTTGCGAGAGCAAACTAAGCCAGCACAAGCGATGCTCCGCCTCTTTCTCCGCCTATTTCCCTTTGCTAGGGCAGCGTTGCGAGCGTACGCTCGTGCCGCAGCAAACTACAGGAAGCTTGCGCTCGGGCTTGCTCCGAAGCCCCGCCTTTTTTCCCCCCCCCCCGAGGCTGCTCTCTCTCTTGCTAGCGTGCCTGTTTTCCATTGCAGAGGGCAGGGATGCGAGCATACGCTCACAGTTGAATTCTGCCAACTGCGAGAGTACACTCGCATCACTTCCCTAGCAAGGGAAAACAGGCACACTAGCAAGAGAGAGAGCAGCCTTGGGGGAAAAAAGGCGGGGCTTCGGAGCGAGCTCGAGCACAAGCTCGCTCTCCCTTCCAGTAGTTTGCTATGGCTCTAATAAAATTGAGGTAGTAATGACATAGTAAAATCTATCAGGCATGTCCAACTGGACATTTTCACTGTTTAGTTAATTTGTATAGTACAAGCTTCTCCAGTCCTATGACATTCAGTCCCGTAAAACGAGATCGCACTTCCATCAGAGGACATATGCTTCCTTCTCTCTTCAACCTGTGATAGAAGAAAGCTTTCCAACAGATTGAGTAGAGCAGGGGTCCTCAAACTAAGGCCCAAGGGTCGTATCCGGCCCTCCAAGGTCATTTACCCGGCCCTCTCTCAGGGTCAGCCTAAGTCTGAAATGACAACAACAATCCTATCTCATCAGGCAAAAGCAGGCCCACGCTTCCCATTGAAATAAGCTTATATTTATTAAAATTGTTCTTTTTAAAAAAATTATTGTATTGTTTTAAAGTGTTTTTTTGCACTACAAATAAGATATGTGCAGTGTGCATAGGAATTCATGTTTTTTTTCAAATTATAATCCCCCGCCCCCCAACAGTTTGAGGGACTGTGACCTGGCCCTCTGTTTAAAAAGTTTGTGGACACCTGGAGTAGAGAATGGCAAATCTATTGGAACAAGAAAAGAAGATATTACAAAGCCAGAGGGGGGTTGAAATCCAACATTGTGCATTAAGCAAGGAAACATTTTTGGGAACTGTTTATGTCCAAAAGTAAGGTCAACAACATGATCTCATCATTGCATGTTTGTATAGGAGGAGGCTTGCTTCTTACCCAATATCTTCATGGCCATTGTGTTCATGCATTAAAAAAGAGTAGCTAAGAGCTATATACTGTATAATGTAAACACAGTTACGTCATGTTTCATAATTAGCATTTAGAAAATATTTATATATTCTAAAGCAACGTGCTTTTCCAGACTGAAGTGATAAATAGTTTTGGAGTAATCTTTCAAATAGTTCACTTTTTTTGCAGTGGTGTCCTAATTGTTTGCCTAAAAATGCATTTCATAAATTGAAATCTGAGGGGGTGAACTCAGTGCAAATCTCTGAGATTACTACACTGATAGGTGCATATTTCACAAGCTGAGCCTGGTTATTATAATAACTCATGTACAAAAAAAACCAAAATTGAAATCTGAACATGTTTTCACTATCTGTGACAAATTTCAAAGGTGGTAGAATTTTTATTTTGAACACACTATTATTTTAACCCAGATAAAATAGTGGGCTTATGGTTTGCCACAAATTCAAGTACTACAAACACCAAATATGATGTACATTTATCAATATAATGTGCTTTGGAAGCAGAAAAATTAATAACTAATATTCTAGGGAAATTGAAAACATTTTATGGTCTCTGTTCAGAATTTTTGTGGAGAATCTTTGGTCCTAAAGCTCTCACAATAATTATCACTGAGCATGCTCTGTCGATGAAGTCAAAACTTATGGAAATCCAAAGATTTATTTATTATTTACGATATTTCTAACCGCCTTTCTTGAACCCGAAGGTGACTTAAGACGGCTTACAACTCGGCAGCCATTCAATGCCGTAACCATATACAGTATAAAATTTAAACATTTACTGTAAATTTATAAAATCATACGATAAAAACCATTTAAAAAACATATAAAACCAATATCTACACTGTTCATCACATTGTCCAAAAAACATTGTCTGAGCCGTTCCATAATTCAGTTCCATATAAATCCATGTTTGTCTATTGCACTGCTTGTTCAAAAAGCCACATTTTTACTTTCTTCCGGAAGATCAGGAAGGAGGGGGCTGATCTAATATCTCTAGGGAGGGATTTCCACAGCTGAGAAGGCCCTGTCTCTCGTCCCCGCCAGCCGTACCTGCGAAGAAGGCAGGACCGAGAGCAGGGCCTCCCCAGCCGATCTTAAGCTCCGAGGTGGTTCATAAGGAGAGATACGTTTGGACAGATAAGCTGGGCCCTGAACCCCGCAGTATAGACAACAAACTATAGGGTATATCTATATTATACACTTATAGCTCTTTGGTACCACTTGTAACTGTAATTGTTCAGAGTCCCATAGTTTCATAAAGCATTTAGATTTCTCTGTGGAAGCTCTAGTTCTCTCTCTTAGATTGTAGCATAGAACTCTGGCAGTTAAAGTTGTAACCACAGTTATAATTGTGTAGCATACATATACTTGTCTGGTTTACAACAGAACACTTGATTTATACACTTCTGACAGCTGTTTGATCTGCTGTTACTTACAAAACAGGCTCACGGTTACATAACATATGAGGTAATGATTGTAGGAGTGTGGTAAATGCAAGGACAAAGGGAAGGAAATTGCCTGTTCTTTCGAAGAAGAAAAATGCAAAAACGTTCTCTGCTTTCCTGTTTTTCCCTCCTTGCTGCAAACTGTTGCGATTCCTTCTTCAAGGCCTGTGCAAGGGATCGAACCTTTCTGATTTTAGCAAAGGCAAAACTGCTGGTAGCAATGTTGGTCCATTATGAAAAAAAGCCTTGCAACAAAAGCTGTCAGGAAATTATATCTGCCTCCCATTGTTTTCCTGTTAATAGGCCTCCTGTTTTATTCAGACAGGCTTCTGTCAAAAGGCTCAGAATGACGCCTTTAATAGGTTACTGCCCTTTTTACTGTTTTCCTTTTAAATTGCTGTTTTGCCATTGTGTTTTTTGTGTGGTTTTCATCTGTAATTTGATGTTACAGAATTGCCTTCCAATTCTGGGAGCATATAGGTGAAATATATATTTTAAAAGAACTCATACAATCAGTCCAGCTATCATAATTTCCACAATTCTTATTCGTGTTAGTCACTACTTGATGTTTTAGGTAGCCCTAATAAAAACAATTAAATCTGTCCTGATGCATAACTTCTGCTGAAGACATAAAGGCGACTGCCAGGACACAATAGGGAGACATAGACGTTTCAAATCCAGGCTGTTTGGCTGACTGCATCCCCTTGTACTAAGCTGCCCAGGCCCCGAGATCTTCAAGAGAGGCCCTTCTCTTGGTCCCACCTCCATCTCAAGCTTGGTTGGTGGGAATGAGAGAGCGGGCCTTCCTTCTTGGTGCCCCTTAACTCTGGAACTCCTATCCCAGGGAAGCCAGAATGGCCTCCCTCCTGCTGCCCTTCCAACGGCAGGCTAAAACCTTTCTATTCAGGCAGGCTTTTACAGATGGAGGTGTTTTAAGACCATCAAGGGCTGCTGTGCTTTTTTTTAATGTGATTTGATATGTTTTTATGGTTTTGACCTGGATTGTTGTAAAACTAATGTTTAATACAGCCAGCAAGCCATCTTAAATCAAGAAATAGCTTTTTAAGATCTACAGAGATACTTGCAGGAACACAGCAGGTGAGAGTCCAAAAGTGGCAGGCTAAAACTCAGAACTTTAATCTGTGGATTATTTATTTCGTGTCAAAAGCATTGCATGAATAAATCCATATAAAACTTATAAAATAAAGGGAGCACAAGCAGCTAAAAAAATTAGATCTAAAATAGGCAACAGCGACTGCATTGTCTGTAGCTTTAAACAGTTCTTCTGTGCATGAGGCAGGGCATTGTGGGCAAACATACAGATGTGGAGTTGTTTGTTTTGCTCCACAGTCGCACATGGTGGAGGATTCTTCTAGGTAGTGCCATTTAGCCAGGTTGCCTTTTGATCTCCCAATTCCACTTTTGAGTCAGTTTTGTGTGTGTGTGTGTGTGTGTGTGTGTGTGTGTGTCAGGAGCGACTTGAGAAACTGCAAATTGCTTCTGGTGTGAGAGAATTGGCCATCTGCAAGGACGTTGTTTTGATGTCTTTGCCATCCTTGTGGGAGGCTTCTCTCATGTCCCTGCATGGGGAGCCGAAGCTGACAGAAGGGAGCTTATCTGCACTCTCCTTAGAGTCAAACCTCCAACCTATCGGTCTTCAGTCCTGCGAAATAAGGTTGAACACTGTGAAAGCCACCCACTACATGGTTAGCAGCCTCCTCCCAGTAGACTCGAATC